GCCAAACAGAAGGGGTTAGGAGAAGACATAGAGAAGTTACTAATTAACTTTAAGAAAGTTCCAGCTTCAAGAAAGACAGAAGATGAGTTTATCTAGCTGGTAGGCTAGATAAACTCAACAAACTATGGAAACAGTTTAATATCAACGACTTAATAATAAAAGAGTTTTGGAGTGCGAACACTGATCACGCATATTTCAAAACTGAATACTACAACAATGTGAAGCAACTCAAGGGGAACCTACAAGACCGACTCACAAGCACGGTACCATCTGAAAGCGCAAGCCAATCTAAAGGCGATTTAGAAGAGAACAATAATGAAGGAGCTGATGATTTGATAGACATAGAATAACAGCAGCATTACAAAAAGCAACATAATAAAATAAAAATGTTTTACCGAGTTGTCGATAAGGAGACGAATGCATGCAACAAGAGGACTCTGTCACAGGGTGTGTGCAGTACCTTGAAAACTGACCATATATTGGAAAGATATCATTAGAACAAGTGATGACATCATTTCTCATGCCGCAAATTAACAAGAATCTGAATACCTAAAAGGTGAGCATTTCGAAAAAGTGCAAGAGAAACATCAGAAAATCGTTACAGGAATAAGAGAGCATACGCAGAAGAAAATTCAATGTGGTGAGTCTGAAATGAACATACCAATGTTCAACAGCCAGTATGACTCATGGACCAGCTTTTTTTACCTGTTCAATTCGTTTATAAATTCAAATAGCCAATTGCATAACGCTCAAAAAATTTATTATCTCAAAAGTCTACTGTCGTGTAATAACCTAATTAAAAATCTGCTAGTAACTAATGAAAAGTACGTTACTACATGGGAATTAATGACAACCAGGTACAAAAACACAAGAATACTGTTCTCAACATATATGAATAAGCTGCTATCTCTATCACAGTAAAATAATGACACATCGGTTGGATTTAAAAACATGTTGGACACTACAAAAGAATGCCTTTGTGCTATAAAAACTTAGGCATTGAAACAGATTCCTTAGGTCCTATAATTAGTTTTCTAATTCCTGGAAACAAGGTTACAGGCGTTAGAAACTTTGTGGGGCCCAGCAACAAAACCAAAACATTAAAAACGAGGCAACTAAATGTATCACAGCGTGATAAAGGGAAAAGAATATTCAATTTGTAAAGAGCAGCACAAAATTTACTCATGTCAAAAATTTAAAGACATGAGTATTGCTCAAAAATGGGCAGCAGTAAGAAGAGACAATTTATGCTTAAACTGTCTCAGCAGCAATCATGTTAGAAACAAGTGCATTTCAAAGAGCACTTGTATGAAATGCAACAAAAATTATCACAGCCTGTTGCATGATAAAAACAGAGTAAAAACCCATAATACACCTATTAATTTAGGCGAGCAATCATACAACTGCGTTATACCGCAAAATGCGACAGTTTCATTACCTACAACAAATGTATGCGTTAGAAATATACCATTGCGAGCCCTGATAGATCAAAAGTCGCAGTCGTCGTTTATAACAAAGGAAGTTTCAAATCAATTACAGCTCAAAAGAACAAAAACTGATGCCATAATAACTGGAGTCGTTGCAAAAGAAATAAGCTCTGTAAAAATAGTGTGAGCATAACAAATATATCAAAGCAATGTAAAGAATTTCCGGTTATCACCACGCCTTACGTTTTGGAAAACTTGACAAAAATCCTCCCGCAAAAACAAGTACGTAAAGAGAAATGGGAGCACTTTAAGAACATAGAGCTAGCTGAGCCTGAATTTGAAAAACAAACAAAAATTGATCTCACATTAGGGTCAGATGTCATTGGTGAGATATTGCTTAGTGGAATAATAAAAAGACAATCATACCATCCCATAGCTCAGCAAAAAGTCTTTGGTTGGATTGTAACTGGCCTTGGAGCAATAAAAACCCTTAAAAACAGCTTGATATGTCATGTTGACATTGATGCACAAGTTAAACAGTTGTTGGCCGCCGAGGAAATTCTGAAAAATGAAATGGTGAAAGAAGATGAAGAATGTGAAGCATTTTATGAAACTACTACTCAGCCTAATAACGAAGGGAGATATATTGCTCGAATCCCGTTGCTTTTAGTCACTATTTTGAGCTCGAGATTGTTGGCCTTTCTTTTTATACCCTACACTTCGTGAAGGGTATATTCACTTTGGTATGGAGTTTATAACCACTTGAAGGAGTCATTTCCGGTATAGACCTATATATATTCCTGCTCAACGTAAAATTCTGCGTTGATTTAGACAGGACCATCCGTCTGTCCGTCCGTCCGATCGCACGATAGCTCAAAAACGAAAAAAGCAATCGGCGCCAAACTTTCAAATATTAGAAATATTTCTAAAACTAATAAAGATGACAATATCAAATTTTACAAAGATGTGTCCAATTACACTCTACATAATGATGGAATGACTGAACTGGTTCGGGTAGCTGCTATACAACTCCAAAAGCTATTTTTAAATATTTGGAAAAATAATAAAGTTAGACTCATGAAACTTGGCATTCGTGTGTCCAATTGTAGGTTACATATATCTGAAGTTTTGGTGATATAACTTGAGAATTTCGGGTAGCTGCCATACAACTCTATAAGCAAATTTTAATGATTTAGGTAAATAATAGAGTTAGATTTATGAAACTTGGCAGTTGTGTGTCCAAATATAGTTCAAACATATCCACGCAGTTTATATAGAGTGGTTTGTCAGGTTCGAATACTTGGTATATAACAGTGAGAGCTAATTCTAGATATTTCAAAAACAAATTTTAGACTCAAATTGCTGATGTACAGGGTATAGTTCGGTAAGTTTATACCAACTGAAACGTTTTTACTTGTTCATTATTTGAACTTATCTGTGAATAAAGCTCCGCTGACCATTAATGTCGCCTGTAACCCGAAATTTTTCCAAATCAAAAAATTTTTTTCGTTGCGCATCATTTATCTTCTGATTATATTTCAACCTGTAACTTTTTGGAAAAGGAAGATTCATTTCTCTGCTACAGCTTTAAAAAAATTGTTGTTGATGAAAAATTTTTTTTTTAAAAAATTTTTCAAATTTTACGAAATTTTTAAAAAGTTTCTTACACCAGATAGAACTTGAAATAACACAATTTCAGACTTAAATAATAACGACGACATATTTAAATTTTTATTATTATATTTTTATTTTATATTTAATATTCGGTAAAGTTATATACATGTAAGCAATATATAACTTTAATATTAAATTAAAATTTGATTATTTTCCCTTTAGTGAATCTAAAATAAAACAAACACTAATATTAGTTCTATTTTAAAACCACAAAAGGAAAAACATGTAATTAATTTTTAATGCAAGATATTAGCGATGGAATACATTTGTAATATCAATTTAAATCTTATTATGCTGTAAATAGTTACCTGTGGAGTTATAATTCAATGGTTAAGATCGTTTTTGGCTTTCCTAATTTTTCGCACTATCAGTCAGAATAAAATTGGGGTCGTTTTTGTCATGGTCTAAAATTTTAAATTTTAAAATATATTACAAATGGTAAAAAAATGTAAAAAACCTTACTGTAAAAGTCAGGAAGTAGAATAATTCCAAAATACTCCTTTCGAGCTTTAATTCTAAGTTTTTTTTGGAGGTTTTAAGTTTTAAAAAGTTTTCAGTTTAAGTTTAATTAAATCATTTAAAATAACATTTCAAGCAAAATGCACTTACTTTTCAATATATGTATCTACTTCTCCATATATTATGTATCTGATGCCGGCGATGATACTTGCATGCAAAGCGTCTGGGATAATACTTTTTGAACAAAAATGATAGAAAATAATGACATTCTCAGTTTCTCAAAGTTTTTTCGAGTTTTGTAAAGTTAAATTTAGTGTTTCAAAACCTCTTAAAATCTAACAGCTGTCAAAATATATGTTTCTTTTGGTCATGTCAAAAGATTTTATTTTTGAAAAAAAAAAATTTCGTCAACAATAACTTTTTATTCCAAACTTTTCAATTAAAAATAAAATAAGCAAAATGGGTTCACAAATGGTTTTTTCTTAGTTTCGCACTTTAATAATCCAAAATCAAAATTTCGGTTTTTGGTATAACCAAAAAATATTTTATTATGTTTGATAAATACTGTGAAATTTCACGTTTATCGCATATTTATAAGGTTTTTAAAAGTTTTTTCAAGTTTTCCGTTTGGTTTATTTTTCTAAGGTTTTCCAGACAGACCTATTATTCCATGTGAATGAATATAATTCATTTTAGCTGGAAACGTGGAGTAAAATACTCCTATACTTACCTCAAAAACTTAAATACAGACACATTGTGCATCATAAATCACTTTATTGCAACCTTATCATAGAATACCTGAATGCAGGATTAATTATAGAATCAAAGCCTGGAACTAAACTTTCAACTTTTGACTCAACCAAAAATTACAAAAAAAATGTCACAAAATCTAAATCTGGATGAAACTGCTGCCAAACAGAAGGGGTTAGGAGAAGACATAGAGAAGTTACTAATTAACTTTAAGAAAGTTCCAGCTTCAAGAAAGACAGAAGATGAGTTTATCTAGCTGGTAGGCTAGATAAACTCAACAAACTATGGAAACAGTTTAATATCAACGACTTAATAATAAAAGAGTTTTGGAGTGCGAACACTGATCACGCATATTTCAAAACTGAATACTACAACAATGTGAAGCAACTCAAGGGGAACCTACAAGACCGACTCACAAGCACGGTACCATCTGAAAGCGCAAGCCAATCTAAAGGCGATTTAGAAGAGAACAATAATGAAGGAGCTGATGATTTGATAGACATAGAATAACAGCAGCATTACAAAAAGCAACATAATAAAATAAAAATGTTTTACCGAGTTGTCAATAAGGAGACGAATGCATGCAACAAGAGGACTCTGTCACAGGGTGTGTGCAGTACCTTGAAAATTGACCATATATTGGAAAGATATCATTAGAACAAGTGATGACATCATTTCTCATGCCGCAAATTAACAAGAATCTGAATACCTAAAAGGTGAGCATTTCGAAAAAGTGCAAGAGAAACATCAGAAAATCGTTACAGGAATAAGAGAGCATACGCAGAAGAAAATTCAATGTGGTGAGTCTGAAATGAACATACCAATGTTCAACAGCCAGTATGACTCATGGACCAGCCTTTTTTACCTGTTCAATTCGTTTATAAATTCAAATAGCCAATTGCATAACGCTCAAAAAATTTATTATCTCAAAAGTCTACTGTCGTGTAATAACCTAATTAAAAATCTGCTAATAACTAATGAAAAGTACGTTACTACATGGGAATTAATGACAACCAGGTACAAAAACACAAGAATACTGTTCTCAACATATATGAATAAGCTGCTATCTCTATCACAGTAAAATAATGACACATCGGTTGGATTTAAAAACATGTTGGACACTACAAAAGAATGCCTTTGTGCTATAAAAACTTAGGCATTGAAACAGATTCCTGAGGTCCTATAATTAGTTTTCTAATTCCTGGAAACAAGGTTACCCAATTACAAGGTAGTAGTAATGGGGTCACCTGAGCATGGGAAAATAATTATGCAAATGAGGCGCGTGCCACCTAGGTGCATGGCCTTTTTATTGCATATTTAATTATGACTGCATTCCTGCATGCTTGAATAGTTAATTATAACTGGATTCCTGCATATTAAACGAGATGAATGACTTAACAGCCGGTGGCGTCAGGTGCACATGCATGACCCCGGAAGTGCACATGGTATATAAATGACTAAATGCAATGATTCAGATGAATGAATGAATAATTGCACATATGAGGTCACGACATAGGAAGGTCATCCAGATGCAAGAGCGCACACCTATGGGTCACGCCGAAGGTCGTTGAACCTTGTGGAATGCGCGCGCCAGGTTTATTATGCAAATTAAGCCGGTTTGTTTTTGTTTGTTATTACACGAAAGCTTTTTTTTTTACTTGTTATTGTTATAATAGAATAGTGGTTATTTCAAGTGTAAGAGGAAAATAATTTATGCAAATGAGATCACGTATATGGGGTCACGACATGGGAAGGTCATCCAGATGCAAGAGCATTCCAGATTGTGGAATGCGCGCCAGGTTTATTATGCAAATTAAGCCGGTTTGTTTTTGTTTGTTATTGCACGAAAGCTTTTTTTTTACCTGTTATTGTTATAATAGAATAGTGGTTATTTTCAAGTGTAAGAAGAAAATATGTACATACATGTGTACATGTTTTAAAGCTTTTTTTTATTGAGAAAGAAAAATCAAGTTCAAGAATAAGAACTCAGGTGTGGTATGTTAAGATTAATTTTTATTTTTCTAATAAAAATGAAATACAAATAAAATGACACGATTTATGTAAATTTGTCTACTGGTGCAAATAATATTTCAGAAGAAAAATTAAATTGTACAATGTAAATTTCCAATTCAATCAAGGAAGTCGAGATTTGCAAAATGTATAAAATACTATTGCAAATAAATTATTAATAGAGTTCTTACTACTTTGTGTGATGCAAATTATATACATTATTATACCCGTACGAACGTATGTTCGAAGGGTATACTAAATTTGCCTCACCGTTTGTAACGCTAAGAAATAACGGTGTTAGATATAGACTCAAGTGTATGTTTTTGATCAGCGTCAAATTCTGAGTTGATTTAGCTTTGTCTGTCCGTCCGTCCGTCCGAACGATAACTCCAAAACTAATTGATCTAAGTTCACCAAATTTTCACAAATGATTTATTGTAGTAAGTGCCAGAACCCTATTTAAATTGGACGTGATCGGGGTACCGGTTCGGGTAGCTGCCATACAACTTCAAAATTTATTTGGCTATATCTCAGAAACTATAAAAGTTGTGGTATTGAAATTTCACACAAATGAATATATTAATAGGGCCAATGTGTTTCATAAAAGTCGTTGAAATTACTTGGCTCCTTCTGGTACCTGCCATACAACTTCAAAAGCTATTTGGCTATATCTCAGAAACTACAAAAGCTGTGATATTGAGATTTCACACAAGTGAATATATTAGTAGGGCCGATGTGCCTGGTAAAAGTCGTTGAAATTACTTGGCTCCTTCTGGTACCTGCCATACAACTTCAAAAGTTATTTGACTATATTTCAGAAACTATTAAAGCTATGGTATTGAAATTTCACACAAACGAATATATTAGTAGGGCCAATATACCCCATAAAAGTCGTTGAAATTACTTGGCTCCTTCTGGTACCTGCCATACAACTTCAAAAGCTATTTGGCTATATCTCAGAAACTACAAAAGCTGTGATATTGAGATTTCACACAAGTGAATATATTAGTAGGGCCGATGTGCCTGGTAAAAGTCGTTGAAATTACTTGGCTCCTTCTGGTACCTGCCATACAACTTCAAAAGTTATTTGACTATATTTCAGAAACTATTAAAGCTATGGTATTGAAATTTCACACAAACGAATATATTAGTAGGGCCAATATGCCCCATAAAAGTCGTTGAAATTACTTGGCTCCTTCTGGTACCTGCCATACAACTTCAAAAGCTATTTGGCTATATCTCAGAAACTACAAAAGCTGTGATATTGAGATTTCACACAAGTGAATATATTAGTAGGGCCGATGTGCCTGGTAAAAGTCGTTGAAATTACTTGGCTCCTTCTGGTACCTGCCATACAACTTCAAAAGTTATTTGACTATATTTCAGAAACTATTAAAGCTATGGTATTGAAATTTCACACAAACGAATATATTAGTAGGGCCAATATACCCCATAAAAGTCGTTGAAATTACTTGGCTCCTTCTGGTACCTGCCATACAACTTCAAAAGCTATTTGGCTATATCTCAGAAACTACAAAAGCTGTGATATTGAGATTTCACACAAGTGAATATATTAGTAGGGCCGATGTGCCTGGTAAAAGTCGTTGAAATTACTTGGCTCCTTCTGGTACCTGCCATACAACTTCAAAAGTTATTTGACTATATTTCAGAAACTATTAAAGCTATGGTATTGAAATTTCACACAAACGAATATATTAGTAGGGCCAATGTGTCTCATAAAAGTCGTTGAAATTACTTGGCTCCTTCTGCTACCTGCCATACAACTTCAAAAGTTATTTGGCTATATCTCAGAAACTATAAAAGCTGTGATATTGAGATTTCACACAAGTGAATATATTAGTAGGGCCGATGTGCTTGATAAAATTCGCTAAAATTTCTTGGCTCTTTCTGGTAGCTGCCATACAACTTCAATAGTAGTTTGGCACAACCAGTATTTTGAAAAACACATAGTACTGAAATTTTGCATAAATTAATATGGTAATACGGCAACTTAAAGTCATAGTCTGCCCCATAGTTAGTTATGGCACATTAGTTATTCGCACATAGGATAACAAATTCGTACGGGTATCACAGAGTTGACAAAGTCAACTCTACTTTTTTTCTCGTTATTTATCAAGTTATTTTTTTATTTCAAAATAGACATTTTATATTCTTTGTATACTTTTTTTATATCCAAACGGAAAAGAACTATAATTTTCAAAAAATTTCCGTTTTTCTGACACTTGCCTGTATGTTTTTATTTGTGGAGCTGTTATAACGTTGTGTTGATTATTTCTTACGAAATTTGAAGTTATAATTTTGACACCTTCCTTATCATTATTTAAAACAAGATCTTTAATTTTTTCAAAGTTAATAATTTCAGAATTTTCGTAAGTCATTTTTATTCCTTTAACTTTACATGTTGCTACCTGACTTTGACTTTTTGTTGAATACACTGCGTACCCGTAATTTTTTGGTCCTCCAGAAGCAAATTCAGTTATAAAACTACCATCGCCATATGACGTGAGCTCATCTGTCATGTCCCCGATGAAGTTACCTAACGGTGGTTCGTATTCACCTTCTTTTGAAATAAATATAATAGAATCAGTATCGTAATACAACACTCAGTTTTCCAGCTTTTCTAAATAACTATAGAGCTTCAATCGTGCTTGTGCAGTGGTGTAGCTTGCTACGCATACATTTACAGTTTTCAATGGTTTTATTTCATCATGCTTAAACTTCCAATTAACAACCAAAGTCTCATCGTTTATAATCAATATATGATGAACTTCCTTGTTTGGATCAGTCATTAGTGTATAAAAATTAGCTGGAGTCTTAATTATTTCTGTCTGTGTTTGGTTTTCTTTTTGTCCAAATTTACCCCAAAATGAATTTAATATAAGTTTTGCAACTGATCTTTTTCCAGGATTTGCACATATTTTATTTTCGTCTAATTTTATGTTTTCCCTTTCGAAGAAGTCTTCTATGTATTGCTGTTTCAATTCTTTATTAACACACGTTTTAGGCCAGTCTGATGATTCTTGTTTTATTTTTAAAAATTTATCCATTATATCAGTAAATAACCCAGGTTTAGATGAAGTTTTATCATATTGCTGGACTGAATATTTCCAAATCTCGTGAATTTCTATTATTTTGTATCCCTTTGTTAAAGCTTTCACCACTTCATCTATAACCCAAGTACCATTCAATGTCCTTTTGTTGTCAGCATGTGTACAATCGTCCATATTTTTTTCTTCACTACATGTAAAGCAAAGAGTAAAGATTAGTTTATTGTTTTGTTTTATTGGAAGTACTGGGATAAATAAGTCTGTTGGAGGAAGAATGGAGCACTTTATTAATCCGTCTGTAGTTTTTAAATTTTGTTTCATGCATTCATCGTTTCCAACAATAATCTCTGGGTGTCCGATGGGAAATTTACCATATTTACAAACATAAGGATAAAGAGAACAAACGTCAATATATTTAATTTTTTCATTTTCCATAGCTTTGTAGTAAGTAACTATATTTTCAGTTCGTCCACCAAAGAAAGAGTCCCTAGGATCAAGTGGAAGATTTATTAAAATAGGATGATCGTTTAAATAAAACATATCTGGGTTATCAATCAATTGTTCTCTAAATTCGCACTCCCATTTTTCAATGACTTCATAACCAAATAAACGCAGTCGGGCTGACTTTGAAATTGTAGCTTCATATCTTGAATTTAGCGTGTCTGTTGCGTTTTTTTCTAATGGTTCGTCACGCCTGTAAGAAAAACACTTTGGATGTCCATGATAGTAGCATCCATGAAATTCAAAAACTTGATTGGTCTCTTCACAAAATCCATCTACTTTTAAATTATTTATGATAGCTTCTTTTTGTTTACCGGCATGTTGGATATTAATTTTTCGCTGGTCTTCTTCCCAAATTAACCATTGTAAAGCTATTTTTGATTGGATATCTGTAAATCTATATCCATTTTTTGGTATTAGTCCTATTGTTTCAGCTTTAAGAAAGTTCCGTCGAAAAATCAAATTGCAAGTTGATGCAATGGTTGTAGCCTCAGTAAACGGACATACATTGTTATCTTTTAGTATAATATTTCTAAACTTTAAACAAGCTTTCGTTAAAATAATTACGTCGTTTTTACAGTATTCTACAATCTCCTTTCGCATGTTAAATTCGGTATTTTTATTTTCATCGTACCATTTAAAGAAAATTAATCGTTCTGGTTTTGACATTAAGTTTGGATTGTAGTATTCATGTGGTGGTAATGGTCCAACGTATTCTTTGTTTTTTTCTGTATTGAATAAGTGAGGAAAATATCCTTTCTTTAAATTAACTGATAAATCGAAAGCTTTTGGCAGTTGAGCAAGTGGCATCGGTAAATAGTTCAACGAATCTAAAAATCTAATGTTTGATATTGACATTTGGATTATTTTTGTACCTTTCATTATTAGCTGGGGCTCCAAATCACTTTTAAGTAATAACTCATTTAATATGAATTGGTGATCAAAACTCTGTCCATTGTGTGCAATAACGGTTACTGTTTTAAATTCTTTTGACAATTTGAAAACGCAACCAATAAAGCTTGGTATTACATTTGTATCAATAACTGTTAATCTATATTTACACTTTGAACAGAAAAATAAATTCTCTTCATTTATACAATTATGGCATCTCGTTGAAAAAACACATAAATCTGCTTCATGTAATTTTGCGTTTTGATTATATTTTTCATATACAATTTTTTCTTGTCTAGTTTCCAAATCGTAAAAAATAAAGAGAAAATTATCTATGTTAGGTTTTTGTTTGTTAACTGTAATGTAGCAAAAATGATTTTGTTCTACTTGTTTTAGGCAATTCTTGCATATTTTTGTGTTGCATTTATGTGTTCCATATTTAGTAGAATAATTCTTAAAGCATGTTAAGCATTTACGCAAATTTATACAAATATTTTTAGTTACATGATTTTCAAAACATCTTAAACCTTTAAATGTCCGTTTACATGTTAAACAGGATATATTTTCAATAACGTTTTTGCAAGCAGGTGATTGCTGACAACATTTACAGCGTCCTCCACACATATGTCTATCTATAGTGTTATATCCGATATTACATTTTTCACAATAATAAGTTCTACAAAAAGCTGAGGTAAGAGAGGTAATGACGTTGTAATGCCTATTATAATAAAGAAGATTTATTCGTTTGCCCTCAGTTTTTCCTTCAAATATTACATTTTTGTTGTTGCTATAGTCATAAACCACTATGTTGTATTTATCACCAAAGTAATCTTGAATTTTCTTCAATTCAGGTATTCCAGAGCCACTTTCTTTGATATTTAAATTAGTATCTTTGACAAGTGTTAAAGCCAATTGTTTTTGAATTTTTTTGACGTCCATGCAAATTTTTTTATAATTGGGCTCTTTGTCAACAAAAGCTTTTCCTACCATAATAGCACGTGGTAGGCAAAGACTGTCTTTTTTTTTTATGGTAACAATGCCTTTTCGTTTTAGACATTCTTCTTCAAAAGTAAGATATTTTTTTACCCTTCCTTTTCCTGAAGGTAAGCGAACAGTTGTAATTGTTATTTCGAAAGAATCAGGGTTAATTCCTTCTGTATTGCTTTGAAATATTTTGAATATCAGTTCCCAGATATCGTCAAACTTTACTTCACTTGCCTCTTTAAAGTTCATCCATCCTGGTGTACGCCCTTGAAAGTTGTTGCCGTAAAACATTATCCCATTACAGAAACTTTGTGGGGCCCAGCAACAAAGCCAAAACATTAAAAACGAGGCAACTAAATGTATCACAGCGTGATAAAGGGAAAAGAATATTCAATTTGTAAAGAGCAGCACAAAATTTACTCATGTCAAAAATTTAAAGATATGAGTATTGCTCAAAAATGGGCAGCAGTAAGAAGAGACAATTTATGCTCAAACTGTCTCAGCAGCAATCATGTTAGAAACAAGTGCATTTCAAAGAGCACTTGTATGAAATGCAACAAAAATTATCACAGCCTGTTGCATGATAAAAACAGAGTAAAAACCCATAATACACCTATTAATTTAGGCGAGCAATCATACAACTGCGTTATACCGCAAAATGCGACAGTTCCATTACCTACAACAAATGTATGCGTTAGAAATATACCATTGCGAGAGTTACGTACACTCCACTATGTAAACTCATATATAATATAACTTTCCTACACTATTAGCATATAATATAAATTTTCTATACTATAACCAATCATATTAAATCATATAAAATCATATTACAATTATTTTCCCAGACTATGTATTTTAATAGCCAATTAAAGTCACATGTTCTAAACATATGTATTTAAAATAAATAATTATGTTCCCATAAATACTTTAAGTTATATATCATATTACATTATTGTTTCTCACAGATTTTTGTCAATTCTAAATATTCAAATTACATACTGTTACCTAATTTTTATAATTTCTTTGTTAAACTAAAATTGCTGAACTAACATAAAAAATGTATAAATACTGTAGAAATAAAACAATCAAATCAGTATAAATCTTAAGTTAAGTTAATTAATTAAATCTTTAAATAAAGTGTATTTTTGATAATCTAAATTCGCATTTTTTTTCCTACCTGCGTTAATACGATACGTAATTGGCGCAGTCGGTAGGATCGGTAAAAGTTAGATAGTTCGCATTGAATAAGTATACAACGGTTTATTGTATAATTTATTTAATTCGGTTCGCGGTAACAACATAAAGCTTTAAAAATTTAAAAACATAAATATCACAAATTAAAATTTAAAACTTTGAACTTATACAGTGAATGTTGTTTTAAAAAAAAAAGTGATACAAACTAAAAAAAAAAAATTTTTTTAAAGAGTGTTGTGTGTTGTGCTACAAATCAACGGATTATTGATTAGTGAACTACAGTGTCAAGAGTATATTGGTGCTGGTTCTGGTAACAACCCTGCGGATTGCGGACTTCAACTTGGATTTCAATCCTTTATATACCGATCTGATGAACCTATCGAAATTAATGCTGGTAGAATTAATGTAAGTGAATTTATTATCATTGATACAATTTTACACAAATATTTACACAAATTTAAAGAAAAATTTTGCACAAAATTAAAGAAAAAAACAAAAGAAAAATTATAAAAACATAAATTTTTAAATAAAAACTAAAAATAATTTTTAATTAAAATAAGAAGTAAAATTAAAATATAAATAAAAATTTAAATCTTAGAAAAAAAAGAAAGAATCAATTATAATTTTATATAATTTTCTAAATTGAGTTAAGATTAAGCTCTTACAAAATTGTAAAATTAAATGAAAAAAACTAAAAGAATTTTTCCTGCACCTTATCCAAGAATTAAATCCAAAAATTTTGAAACTAATAGCGAAGATTACAGCTTAACATTAGATTTAACACATTTATTTGAAATTAAGACTTTTGATATGGCTACAAATCCTTCTCCAACTACCACTACCTCAGATATTTTTAACTCCTTACGAGTACCTGATCTACCACAAGTTAAGGATCTACCACAATTCCAAGGCAATTTCAAACTTTTATTTGATTTTATTAACAATGTAGAAGAAATTCTTCAATTAATTTCATGTACACAGGCTACACCATACTTCAAACTTTTACTCAGAGCAATTAGAAATAAAATAGTTGGCCCAGCCAATGAAGTTTTAAATATGTATGGAACTTCTCTAGATTGGGATAGTATAAAACAGAATCTTATACTACATTACTCCGATAAAAGAAATGAAACTTCTCTCATTCGAGATCTGCATAGCTTAAAACAGGGAAATAAGACAGTTGAGAATTTTTATAGCGAAATAATAGAAATCCTTGCTACCATAACGGCGCATGTGCAAATGCATGAGGACGATTCAAACGTTATCAAATCGAAAAAAGACCTTTATACGGAAATGTGTCTGAACACATTCTTGGCAGGACTAACAGAACCACTTGGGTCCACAGTGAGAGCCATGAGACCCGAAAGCTTGGCAGTAGCTTTTTCATACTGCATTAGGGAACAAAATATTTCATATAGTCGACTGGAAGCACATCACCCTAAATCGGCTTCCACACATAAAACCCACACACCCATACAGAAATTTAATATATCCACAAATAACAGAAATAATTTTCAGAAATATCATTCGTCAAATAGTGGAAATTTTAACAATAGGAATTTCAGTAATAATCAATTTAATCGCAGTCATAATCTTCACAATAATCAAGTTAACTCAACTAATCAATTCTCTAAACCAATTAATCAATTTCCTAAACCTGAACCAATGGACACTTCCTCTGGTAATACAAACTTCCGCAAACCTCCTCAAAGCAATTTCTTCAGGCAAACAAACCGGCCTACATTTACTAGTAGGGAACTTTTCAATATATCCTCATCTCCCTATCAAAATTTAGATCAATACTATAACCATAACTATCAAAATTTAGAGCAGCATAACGGCGAGAATTGTCAGAATCTAGAACCCGAAATTGACGACACAAATTTTTGTCCCACAGCCTCGAAGAACCGATCGGATACATAGATATCAACAAACATGGATCCGTCCTTCCATATATTAATATAAACTCTCCTTTTGGAAGACCTTTAAAATTCCTTATAGACACGGGTTCATCTTCATCTTTCATAAATCCTGAGTATATAAACCCAGAAGACCTCCAAAAAACAAATCCTATAATAATTAAGACTATTTTAAATTCTCATACATTGGATAAACAGGTTACACTACCAAATTTTATCGAATTCAACGAACCAGGCAACACAACTTTTCTCATATTCAAATTTCATAATTATTTTGATGGTTTACTTGGCCTAGATGCATTGACATCTTTGGGAGCCACTGTAGATCTTTCTAGTAAAACATTAAACACTAGGAATTCAAAATTACAACTACTATTCAAACCCAATTTCATGTCGAATAAATATATCATAGAACCAAACTCAAAATTAATAACTAAGTTACCGGTAGATGTGGAAAATGGAAACATTTTCATAAATAGGACAATAATAGGACCAAGGTTATACATCCCTGAAGGAATTTACAATTGTCGCGATTGGTATAGTTGTGTCGAAGTTATAAACTCTTCGAATAAAAATCAAACCATCTTCTTGGAACAACCACTAAAAGTGACTCCGTACCGATCTGACGAATTCATCGAGATTAACAATTTTAACGTTGAATGCCCTTCCAATTCTTTTTCTGCTGATATAACCAATTCAATTAGGACTTCTCATCTTAATAAGGAAGAAAGGAATCTACTGATAAGTATCTGTAAACAATATGACGATATATTCTACAAGGAGAACGAGACTCTAACTTTTACTAACCGGGTTAAACACAAGATAGCGACAACAGACGACATTCCCATTCATACGAAATCATATAGGTACCCATTCATACACAAAGAAGAAGTCAGGCGACAAATTAATGACATGCTTAGTCAAGGAATAATTCGACCTAGTTACTCTCCTTGGAGTTCTCCGGTTTGGATCGTGCCCAAGAAGAGGGACGCAAAAATGGCGTTTGGTAATAGATTACCGTAAGCTTAATGAGAAGACCATCAGTGATAGATATCCGTTGCCAAATATAACGGAAATTTTGGATAAGCTTGGCAAAAGTATGTATTTCACAACTTTGGACCTTGCGAGTGGATTCCATCAAATAGAAATGGATCCAAGCGATATACAAAAAACGGCCTTCACAGTGGAAGGTGGACATTTCGAATATGTTAGAATGCCATTTGGGTTGAAAAATGCCCCTTCAACCTTTCAACGCGTAATGGATAATGTTCTTCAAGATCTTCAAGGCAAAATATGTCTAGTCTACTTGGATGATATAATCATCTACTCAACCTCCTTACAGGAACACGAAGAAAGTTTAAAAAAGGTCTTTGACAGACTTCGACAGTTCAACTTAAAGGTTCAACTCGACAAATCAGAATTTTTACATAAAGAAGTAGCTTTCTTAGGACATATTGTTTCTACCGATGGTGTAAAACCAAATCCAGAAAAGGTTAAGGCTATAAAAAATTACCCCGTTCCAAAAACACAGAAGGAAATCAAAGGATTCCTCGGACTATTAGGGTACTATCGTAAATTTATAAAGGACTTTGCCAAAATAACTAAACCATTAACGGAATGTTTGAAAAAGGGAGCAAAAATAGATTTTAGTGATAATTATATTAAAGCCTTCGAAAATTGTAAAAACTTACTCATAAATGACCCTATCCTTCAATATCCTGACTTTTCAAAACCTTTCATTCTAACTACAGACGCTAGTAATTTCGCGATAGGTGTTGTGCTATCACAAGGCCAAATTGGAAGCGACCTACCTGTCTGTTATGCAAGCAGAACACTTACAAACTCCGAAACAAATTACTCCACAATAGAGAAAGAGCTGTTAGCTATAGTTTGGGCTACCAAATATTTTAGACCATATCTCTTTGGGCGACAATTTAAAATCGTTACAGATCACAAACCACTAACTTGGCTGATGAGCTTGAAGGATCCTAACTCAGGAGACTCAAGCTTGAGGAATTTGACTATCAAATAGTGTATATGAAAGGAACACAGAATGCTAACGCCGATGCACTTAGCAGAACTAAAATTGAAGAGCAACCTGAAAGAAAAATAGAAGTCAACAATTCTGACACTACTAACACATCCTCTTCAGAGCCAGGAAACGTTTCTACCATT